TTGAGTCGTAAACAGGGTATACAATCTCACTTTTTACGATCTTGAACAGGTTGTTATTGGACCTTTTTAAGCTGTCCGAACTACTAAAATGAATTACTAACATACACAACTGATGAAAATCAGTTACAAGCCCTTTGATATCCCTTTATGGGATTTTCTCATCAGTTTATGTCTGCCAACTCTCTTGTTGCCTGCAGATTGAAAACTTTAATCTCATGCCAGCTTGAGTCTTTTGTTTTTGATAACAACAGGGCAACAATGTTATTTTAATGGGGAGTCCTGGAGCTGGCAAAACAGCTGTAGGTAGAATCCTGGGACATCGCTTGGGAAGAAAAGTAGTTGATATTGATGATGATGTCTTGGAAACTGTGTGGGGAATGTCAGTCGCAGATAAGGTAAGGTATGATCAAAGAAAGAAAGAAACTAAGATATAAAAAGCTGCTTTGAACATTCCATTAGTCCAGTCTGTTCCATTATTTCTGTAAGTCTACAAATTCTTATCCGTTCCAACCTTCTTCAAGTCCCAGGCTGTAATCAGAGACCAGGGGTGGAGATAAATGTAATCCTGCAGTGTATAACTGCTAAACATGCTGTGGCATGTAGCTGCTATACTGCTATGAACAGAAAATGCCTAATCTTTGTCTACTTTTTCCAAAGATGTCCTAGTCAAAAGTAAGTGACAGCCTTGAAGTCCATAAATTTCAGTCAAATGCAGTCATTCAAGGGCCAATGAGAAAGGCTAGTGTAGCAGTTTATTAGCCATCATTTAGTGTCATAAAGGAAACTGCCTTTCATTATCATGTTTTCCACAAGTCATGTCAGAACCCTTATCTTAGCTGTAGTATTAAACATACTTTATTTCCCAACCTTTTCTGTGTTATTGAACATTATTATTATGAGAAGAAATTATTAAATGCTCTTTGAGCTACTTTTGGGTTACTGTTAGCTGTTTTAAGAGCTTAAAGGGTGGAGCAACTAGGCAAGAATTCCTTTAATGCTGACTTGTATTCTCTTATACATGTAGCTCTCACAGGTTGGATCAGATGGCTTTGTTGATGCCGAGGGCCAGGCTCTCTTGCAGTATTCTACTAATGACGCCGTGATTTCCCTGAGTGGTTCTAATCCAATGCACAAGAAAGCTATGGAACACGTCAAATCCCTTGGGACGGTTGTGTATTTGGATGTAGAGGATGGTGATATTTTGAATCGACTAGCTGAGATGAAAGTGAATCGGATTGTTGGACAGAATGAAGGTGAAGTGATTTACAAATATGTTTGCCACTTAAATTTCTAAGAGATACAGTACAGTTTAATATTCAAAATATAGCTGGCAGAAAATAATATTGGGAAAACTGCAGGAGAAAAAGACATGTCTTTCAAGCGTGCCCTTCATTGACATCTTTGAATGGTTTTCCTGGAAATCTTGTACCCAGATCTCACTGGTGTCAGTGTGACCGTAAGGAATCTGGGTACAAGTTTAGGTTCCTGTTAAAGAAAAAATAAGCGATAATTTTCAGGGATAGAAGTCTTCTAGTTTCACAATAGGTGCATGAATTTTTTAAACCACATATTACAATCTGCTATGGCAACAATTTAAGTGTAAAATTTGTAGTTCAGTGGGTAGGTATTCTCTGTTTCTAGTCTAAATTGTGCTGCTGAATACAATATGGTATAGAGTGCGTGATGGTCGCCTCTTTGTAGGTCTGTAGATTTTTCAATAAAGGTAAAGTATGAAAATAAAGAGTTTCAAAATTCCAATGGCACACCTTCACCTAGACTGCAAAACATTCCGTATTTTTGCGTATTGAAGTACACGCGAGCAGTCAAACAAAAGGTCTGGAACGAGGCTGAAAACAGAGAGCAAGACTGGGGAGAGACGCTACGGGCGTGTAAGGCTCGCGCGCGCCACGCTTTACGGATTTCTTTACTGATTTTGAGAAAAAAAACCTTCACCATAAATCGGTCAAAGTACACCTCTCTCCCACCCCCTTCGTTGTTCCCTCGCACTAGCTGATCACGTGATTTTTATTTCAGGGATAAGTATGAGTGAGATTCTTCAATATCGGAAGCAATTTTACGAGTCCAGCTACGATGTTCGCATCACTTGCGCTCGAGGTGATTCTGCTGAAGAAATTGCAGACAAAGTGTTCCAACATCTAATGGACTCCGCGGCTGATGCGGGATACGTCAGCACAAGAACGGAATACCCGGATGGGGAAGAAAGTCCGGGGTTTTTAGATGTCGTATTGGAAGGTCTAGCCCCTGATGGAGGGTTATATGTACCGAAGGAAAAGATACCGCATCTCTCTCTAGGTTAGTTTTCTAGGTGTCTTACTTTGTTTAGCGGGCTTTTGCGCATTTTCCATTACTCCCAAGCGCCTGCTACATTTTCAGGGGTATCCAACGAGAATATAGTTCAAAACCACTTAAACATAGCATTGTTAAACGTATTTTAGTATTTAAACGGTGGATATAGGCATATTTTTCTCCCCTAGAAAGTTTTCATCTGTTCGGATTTCCTAGCTGAAAGTCTAGTCATCCGAAAATTATAGGGATCAAAACTTTTTCGACAATTTTTAGCCAGAAAAAAGGCTCCCGAAAATTCTAGGTGACCTTTTTAGGGTAAAAATCCGTTAAAAACGGGCAATTATACCATTTGTTAGATTTTCTAAAATCCTAGGAGAGGCAGGCAAGCAAGAAATTCTACAACAAATGTTCCGAAAATTCTAGATCTCAAATCGTCTTCCGAACAGATATTTTCCGAAAATTGACGTTCGGTGCCCCTGATTGTTGCTTGACGACACAAAAATGGCAGCGTAGGAGACTAGCATGATCTAGCCTTCGACGCGGACGTTCTCAGGGCTTCATCACTTTTGAAGAGGAAAGAACGCGTAACAAACGTCTGCGTGGGAGACTACGGTGATCTCAACAGTTTTTGGAAGACCCTTCGTAGATGGTCCAGCTGAATTTCTTTACAACCCACCTTGGCTACTCTGCAGACCGGCTGCCTTCTCTATAAGCCAACTTAGACAGCCGTGTGAAAGTTAGCCGTTCCTTACTCCAGTTTAGAAACGAGAAGGGAACTGGAGCCGAAATGTTTCCCACAATTGTGTCTGGGATCGTAACTGGGGACGCGCCAGTCAGCTAATTACTTGGGAACTTAAGCAAAGACATTTTTGAGGGATGCACGTTAACTGCAACGCGGCTTTTCGCATCCTTGGGCAGTGGTTTTACCCAATTTTTCTGCAATCTTCTTTACAAGAGAAAGGACTCTTAGCAGTACAATTTTAGTAGCGTTTAGGCATGTTAAATGAGAAAAGGCTTCACTTCCGCTTGACGTACTTCCGGTTGACGTACGTCGCTCAAAAACGTCCTTGCTTAAGCTGCCTAATATTGACCATTTTCCCCTTATCCCTAGTAACAGTCCCAGAAGTCTTTCCGATAGTTAACTCGATCCAGTTTCTTTCTCGTTTTGACAGTGGCGCCTTTGTTCCTACTTTAGGTCAGTGGGAACGACTTGTAAACTGCAGCTACAAAGAAAGAGCGTTACGCATTCTAGAAACATGGTTATCACCTACCGACCTCCATCCCTCTATCCTTCAGTCCATGGTAACTAAGGCATACTCTCACAACTTTCAACACGAGGCGATAGCTCCTCTTGTCAAACTTAATGACCAGTATTATGTGCATGAGCTGTTTCACGGACCAACAGCGTCCTTCAAAGATCTTGCCTTGCAGTTAACGCCGCATTTTTTTAGCGAAGGTATCTCTAGGAGGTCGACATCTGATGGACCTGTAAAATTTCTGATTCTTGTCGCTACGTCTGGTGATACCGGAAGCGCCGTGCTGGAAGGTTTCAAGGGTATGTATGATTAGTGTAAAGAATATATGGTGGAAGCTCTCGTAAGCGGACACGCTCAGGACGCGTAAAAGGTACCCTTAAGTGGAGCTGGCCGCTTAGGGGAATGTAAAAATATAGAATTTGTATCGGAGTTGAGAAAAACGGGGTCTTGTGAAGGCAGCCGTAAGTACAAGAGCTGTCCGCTTACGAGAGTGTTCGTTAGGAAAGCTTCCGCTGTATGCGGAACATTTCCCAAGCCAAAAGTAAGTTGCTGTTGACACAAGAGGTCAAATTGACTCGCGCATGAAATCTGCTGCGCTCCAGTTGAATTGGTTTCACACAGGAAACGTCTTGGGTATGACACATGCCCTTGGGTACCTAAAATTTACAGGCACCAGTTCTTAGTGATACCTTTGGCCTGCGTAGCTTGTGGGGTCGTTATGTCCGGGGTGCTTTCTTGGCGTGTAGGTGCGAGGGATTTTCGCTAACGGCGAATTGCAATTTGATTTGTTCCCAATCTTCTCGCGCTCCACCATCAAAAGACTACAGTACTCGCTTGCTATTCCCACCAGTGTCGCGGGCTAGTGATACCTGGAAGTGCATCATTCGTTTCTTGGTGCCTCTTTAATCTGATAGATATTTCCATTTATTTGCAAAGGCAACGCTAAAACCTCAGTCATGGTCCTCTACCCAAAGGAAGGAGTCAGTGAAATCCAGAAAGCGCAAATGGTATCCGCAGATGACCCGAATACGCGTGTTATTGGAGTAAACGGTGACTTTGACTTCTGTCAAACTGCAATAAAGACAATCTTCAACGATTTATCCTTTAATAAAAAACTTATGGACACTTTTAGTGTGCAGTTAAGTGCCGCGAACTCCTTAAACTGGGGTAGGCTACTACCACAAGTTGTGTATCACGCCTCTGCTTACTTGGATCTTGTGAAATCCGGAGCGATTTCGATGGGCGAAATGGCAGATTTATGTGTACCAACAGGAAATTTCGGCAATATTCTGGCAGCGTACTATGTCAAGGTAAGATATTATACTGAATCCGGGGTGTTTTCTATGGGTTTCTTGTCAAAACTGTTTGGGAATTTTATGGAATAGCAAATTCATGATTACCAAAATGAAATTTACGCAGTATTCCGGAGGCGTGGAGTTAAGGTCAGTATGTTAAAAACCTTATAAACTCTGAGCTGTTTTTCCCACAGGAAATGGGAATACCTTTCAACAACCTGGTTTGTGCGTCAAACGAGAACAACGTTCTAACAGAATTTTTCCACACGGGATCATACAACATGGCAACGCGTCACCTGCAACAAACCATCTCACCATCCATAGATATCCTTAAATCATCCAATCTAGAGAGACTCATTTATCACGCTTCTGGGAGTGGAACAGTTGTGGCCAATTTGATGAGGTTGCTGGAAGAAAACAAGGTCTTTAAGGTTAGTGCAGGTCTTGCCTGAGAACCTTTGGTTTCCCCGCGAAATGACGTCAGAGGAGCAAGCGAAGAAATTCCATACTGATGACATGTCACTACCCACATCTGGGTAGTTCTTCCGATTGGTCGTGCCGCGAGAGAAATTTGCTTCAACCAATCAGAAGCACAGCTCAGATCTGTGTGGTGACGCGTCATCAGTATGGAACTTCTGCCCTGAATCCTCTGACGTCATTTCGCAGGGAAACCAGTTGATGGCGTCGCCAAATGTCGACCGTTTTCTCAGGCCAGCACAAGGCTTCATCTCCCCATGCGATAGCCCTGTTAGTGCAGGTTGTGTCTAGGTTTCCTCTCTCAGCGAACTGCAGTTACATTTCGCGAAAGAACTGTGCCATTTCGTGCTATACTTTCGCGCTGTTTTACTGATCTCTGTAAGCTGCGAACGGTTCGCTAATACCTATTTTAAGCAACCGTGACGGCGACAATAGCAAGGAATTCCTATAACTACGAGGAAAAGATCATTAAACGTTTCTAGGAAAATGCCCACCTACCCCTCCCTAAGTCAACATTTTGCCGTAAGTGAGAAGTAAGTGTTAATGGCTTAGGGGAGGGGTGAGTGGGCAGTTAATGCACCTCTCCCCAACTTCCCAACCCGACATGCGCGATCTTCATTTCAGTACATTTCTTTGCCTTTTTTTGCAACGGCAACTTGTACTGTTTGACGTTAAGTGTAGAGCCCACGTACCTTTTTTTTAACTGAGGCCGTTTTTGTCACCTTACGAGCAGAGCCTGTATTCGTCTTCCCGCGAGGACTGACGCCAAAATCAAGCAGCCGAAAAGAGAAAGGCTCTGCCGACAGGGCGAAGTTTTGTTTGCGTCGCCGTCATAATTGCGTAAAACTTGGCTCTTTACGCTTTTCTTGGTTGGAAATTGTTTAAAAAGCAAAGAAGTAGCGCATTTGTTTCAAACTTTAACCTTGTTGCCGGACGTGAGACACGCTGTAACGGTGTTAAAAGCTTAACACGTCTCGAAGTGTCAATGCCATTTTCTTAGATTTCAGATGACCTTAGAAACGAACTATCCACCATTTTCAAAGCCGCCTTTACCTCAGAAGAAAGGTGTCTGGATACAATTAGATCCACCTTTAAACACACAGGGTACGTAATGGATACCCACACAGCTGTCGCAATGGACATCGCCAGCCGCTTTGCACATCCTAATCGACCAATGATCATATCCGCTACTGCGCACTACAGCAAGTTTGCCTACGATGTTCTAACTGGCCTTCGTCATTACCCATCATCTCACCACCCCGCGGAGTTGTTCACAAGTTTGCGCAAGCTTGACGCTCGACCACCGTTGCATGCAAGTCTTGAATTTGTTGTTAGTCGGCCCAAATTACAGAATGCAGTCTGCGAAGCTGACATCAGTACACTGATGGAAGAAATAGAAATCTTTTTGAAGCGATAATATTTTTAGATATGAACCAGTTTAACCCTACACTGATCTGGGGGTATCCGGTCGTTTCGATCCGGCTGCAAAGTCGTCACGCTACGAGTCGCTTTGCTTCATCATGAAGTGGATTCGCTGCGAAGAATTTTTCGTTTCACTGTAGGCTCGGATTCAAGAAGTTTGATGTCGCGCACTAAAGTTTAAAAAAAGAAAAAAAAAAGGTCAAAGTCTTCTTCATTTTTTCCAAATTGATGCGTTAAGACTGTGCTGCGAAACGACTTGTAGCGAAATGACTTTGTGGCGAAACGACCGGAAAGCTCTGGGGGTATCCGTTCACTGGTCCATGGCTCTTTTAACTGAGCTAATGGAGCGCTGGGTCCCGTTTTTAGTTCCAAAGAGACAGTTTTCCACAGCAAGCTTAGAGGCATCTGGTAGCCAATGAACAGCTTCAATACAACTTAATGGAGTGAATGTGTATCACTACCGAGGGTTGGGTTTTAATTCAGGGAAAGATGGGGTTGGACCAATAAAGACAATGAAAAGTTTGATCTGTTCCACTGATTACAAGCTGTCCGTTATTATCTTAGAGATATATTTAGTGGAGTCAGGGGCACCCAACGAGAATATAGTTCAAAACCACTTAAACATAGCATTGTTAAACGTATTTTAGTATTGAAACGGTAGATATAGGCATATTTTTATCCCCTAAAAATTTTTCGTCTGTTAGGATTTCCTAGCTGAAAGTCTAGTGATCCGAAAATTATAGGGATCAAACTTACCTTTTCGAAAATTCCAGCCAGAAAAAAGGCTCCCGAAAATTCTAGGTGACCTTTTTGGGTAAAAATCCGTTAAAAATAGGCAATTAGACCATTTTTTAGATGTTCGAAAATCCTAGGAGAGGCAGGCAAGCAAGAAATTTTACAACAAATGTTCCCAAAATTCTATATCTCAAATCGTCCTCCGAACAGATATTTTCCGAAAATTGTCGTTGGGTGCCCCTGTGGAGTGAGCGAGATAAACGACCAAGTGTGAAACACGCCACACGCTAGGGAAGGCGACAAGCGGAGAGGAGAGAAAATAGTACACAACAGACTTAACCCAGGCGCTGAACCTTATACGGTGCTTTCACATCGCTAAAACGCAGATTGGCTTTTTAGGTTTTCCTCTTAGGGACTGGTCCTTTATTACCTGTGAGGTGTGGGGTGGGGGGATTTCATTTTGCAGGGGTTCATTTTCAAAATATTGATTTGCTTTGGGGAGTCATTTTCAGGTAAGGGGGCGTTACCTGAGGGGTCAAGTTTACGAAAGCAGTACAAGGAATAACAAAGGTAGAGTCATAAGCAATCGCCACACGCAGAAGAAATAGAGATTTCCAGGGGCGCCTGCCCATTTCTCACGCTGTCTGTACCCCTAATTACCCAGCAGGATCCTCTCTTTAATAGACAAACACTTCCGCTCTATGGATCGTTTTAATAAAGGTTATGTGAACAAAACCCCGTGTTCTACAATAACATTCACCTTCTTTCTTGCCGAATGGGGCATGCGCGAAAGGGTGTCTCTTTCTTGCTATGCGCCCCAATATGCAAATGTGGCATGTGTTTTAGCGTTAATGGTTTTCAGCATTCTGACTTGATTGGTATAGGATTTTATGGAGCCCAACCAGTTAATTGTGGAACAGCACACATTTTAGGCATCCTACTGATGAACAGTTACGACTTATAACCACAGTAGATATTTCGAGCAACAACAGGTTGCTGTCTGTCTGACAACAGATTCTTAAAACAGTATAATACTTTATTTTGACAACAGTCAAGTTGAGAGAAGACAGATATCATGAAGTTTACACATTGCATTTACGAACAAATCTTTTACTCAGTAACAGTTATACTCTTACAACTGTGGGATTTAAACTTTCCAATTATAACATCAGCAGTTTTTGGGACTTTCACGTCATGCCTGGCATTAACTAGCTATCAATGGTAGTATACTACTTAGCCTGAGAAAACACCCAACATTTCAATGACACCTCCATTGCTTTCCCACAAAATGACGTCTGACAAACGTGCCCAGAAATTCCACACTGATGATGCGTCACTCCTCACATCTGAGTAGTGCTTCTGATTGGTCAAGCTGGGTGGGAGAATTTCTGCGCTCATTTCTCAGACATCATTTTGTGCAGGAAAAGCAGTGGTGGCGTCAAGAAATTTTGTTGGCTGGTTTCTCAGGCGGTGTATCATTTTGTTGTAGGTAAAATCAATACTCGGGTTTAGCTAGCATTCAACCTTATTTGATTTAGAATTTTCTTTGTTTCTTAGTCCTAATGATTCAAAAGAGACAAAGGGAATTCTCGATTAACCTGAGACTTCAAAATATTTACTACAAAAATCATGTGTTTAAAATAAAGCATAATTTTTAAAGTCACTATCCAGATGATAAGGGATTTCAATGTGTTTCAATCCCCCTAAATATTGCCAACTAAGATAAAGCAGAAAGATGTCCTTGACAGCCTGGGATAGTTGTGGAACAAGTCAGGATCATTTCTACTTTCCCAAACTGTGCCCAGACTTTTGGGATCATTTTACGTTTCTGGGAAACTGCCCACCTACATGTCTCCTAAGCCAACATTTTGCCTTAAGTGAGAAGTTAAGTGTTAATGTTGGCTTTGGGGAGAGGTAGGTGGACAGTTTCCCAGAAATGAACAATGATCTGACTTTTGAAAGGGTCCAAGGTCATTCCCATCACATAGAAAGACACAGGAGGGATAATGTCAACAACAGTTTTACTTTGTTACTTATCCTCTAAGGTGAGAGACTGGAGATGAGCAATTGCAGCTTGTCTCCAGTCTCCCATCTCACAAATCAAAAGGGCCAGGCCTTTAGGGCAGACACTGGGAATTTTGTCATAAAATCAAGCTTGAGATCCCACCAACTCAAATGTAATTATGACAGTCAATCCTCTCTGCTGAAAAGGAGAAGCAACAACAGAAATTGCATGCAGATGATGTCCATGTTCAGGGGTCACAAAATCTTGGAGAGTTGGGAAAAAGTGGTTGTTTGCCGTTAACAAAAAGCTTTCCAGAAAATCCCATTAGATAGTAAACGGAACACGACTTTTTGGGTAGTTCTAGTGGAAAATTTCCCAGAGCAATGGAACATCTGAAAAGGCAGTCCTGTTTTTTCTGGATGGAATGTTCACTGTGGGCATATGTGACATCAAAAATGCTCACCTTTCTTCATATTTTTTTAGTTTTAACGCAATTCGCTTAAAATTTTGCAACAATATAGAACTCTCCATTCCCTAAAATTGTATATTTTTGGTTTTTCAGATTTTGGCATTTTGGCATGAAAGTGATGTCACAAAGTTCCCGCCAAGTTTTGTTTTAAGTATTAGAGGATATCTAATGATGGTTTCTGAAAGAACTCACCACAAGGATGTCAAAAGTGAAATATTTTTTCAAATACACCTATCAACTCAAAAGATATAGGATTTTGAAAGTTCAATTTTCCGCCATTTTGTTACTAAAAATAGCACAAAATGGCAGGAAATTCAAATTTCTAAAAAATTTCAAATTTCTACATTGTTAAAAATTTTCCAGTGAATTGCTTTAAAACTAAAGAAGATGAATGGGGGTGAGCGTTTTTGATGTCACATATGCCCACCATGGTTCCAATGGAAATTCGTGTTCCATTACTTTAAAGCCATCTTTGATACTAGTTTCAGGCCTTTCTGGTCATTTTCAGTTAATGGAACTAATTTGTACATGTACAAATGGTCAACGTGATTCTGGGATGAAATTTACCAGTCCTGACTTTTGCTTTCCATTTATCCAAACCATAAACTGACCGGTTTGCCTATGTGGTTGTTTACCTTGGTAAACAACCAGTGAAATCCCTCACCATCGGGGTTTCCTCTGACTTAAAAATCAAGCTTGTTTTTGAGTATTGATACACTTTTATCGCGACATACACGTACACACATTCTACAAGCATCATTCATTGGTTATTATTAATACTGAATCTAAGCAATATTTTACAAAAAGAGTTTCTGTATCAGTACAGCTAAAAGAAGCAATTTTTTGGGGCACAGTAGTATGTACTTGAAAACTTTGCACTTGAACAAAACACTGAATTTCATACTCTTTAAACAAAGAACTACTATCAAGTTCCTTTGGCATATCTCTTTGTCCACTCTCTTGCTGCAATTTAAAGAGGCAATTCATAGATCAAGTTAGTAAGCTCATTCTGATTGGCCTAGTTTACACTCTCTGGTGAGTTTTGTTAAAGTTTGTATTATAAGATTACAAAAGGATCATCTTTTTACTAATTTTTTAATGTTGTGGAAGTGAAGTTAAGTCATGGTTCAACATCTCTCCTTATAATCCTCAAATAGGTCAATCACCCTTTATGTTCTTGGGTTAACTCTGTGGCAAGAATGGACTATTCCTCATTTCACATAGTTTGCAACCTTTTCTCATACCATTTTGCATCTTGGTACATAATGTTTCCGTAGCAGGTTAAAAGGGAGTTAATAGCATGTGACAGTGAAGTTAAAAGTAATAAGTATTTTGAGGTACAGTAATGTTTGAATAAATAAATAAATATAAATGAATAACGATTTGAAGGTAGCATATCCACATAGTGGTTCTTCCTCTACCTGATTTTGGAAATGTTGGGTTTTGAAGAGAGGGGAAAACCAAAGTACCCGGAGAAAACCCTCTTGGAGCAAAGGAGAGAACCAACAACAAACTCAACCCACATATGGCATCGACGCTGGGATTTGAACCCGGGCCACCCTGGTGGGAGGCGAGTGCTCTCACCATGGCACCACCCTTGCTCCTCAATGTGGTTGTCTGATACACTCTTTGCATGTACAAATACACAGGCTATCAAAATTAATGTATACAGTCAACTCTCTCCCTAAGACGGACACCTTTGGAACCGGCACTAGCTGTCCGTCTTAGAGAGATGTCCGTCTTATAGAGAGTCAAATATAGGCAGATAAGAAAGGTAGGGACCAACTCTAGGTGTCCGTTTTACAGAGGTGTCCATCTTATAGAGGTGTCCGTTAAGAGAGAGTCGACTGTACAACCAAAGCTTTAACAACTTGTCACCCTCAGGAATTAGTAAGGTGACCGCTTATTAATAGAGGTTTTCTAAAAGTTGGCTCAAAATGTGGCAGAAATTAACCTGGAGGGCAACATTTATCACTCTATTACAATCTATTGTTCACAACAACAAGAACGTGAAATATGATATGAGTATATGGATGTTCTGAAGAGTTCACACCGAAAAAACAAATTTTACAGTATTTTACCAATCTCATTCAACATGAAGAGAAAAATTCAGTTATGAATACAATATACACACTTTTTACATACCAGTTTCAATGGCTTTGCTCTCATTTGTTTTCCACTCGTCAGCTACGTCATTAGCAAGAGGATCATCAGGGTTTGGAGCACTAAGAAGTGCCTGAATAGATAGGAGAACTGTACGGATCTGAAGAGCTGGGCTCCATTTATCTACAGTTGTAGAAAATAAAATATCAATCCCTGTTCCTCCTAGAATCAATAACGTGATGAATTTGCTCACCAGCAAGTCCTGATAATGAGATGTCAGTTCAATCAGCTACTTACCTTTCAAAATGTCCAGGCATATGCGACCAAGTTTATCAATGTTTGGATGGTAAATTTTTGTCATGAATCTTACTTTTGGTGCAGCCATTGGATACTCTTCAGGGAGGAACAATTCCAGCATGAATTTGCCACCCTCAAATGGTGACTAAAAAAACCCAAACAATCGATATTTAGCATTGACAAACTTATCAAAGGCTTATTTAAGTTATGAAAATACTGTAAAATTCCAAAAATAAGCCCCGGGGCTTATATTTTTCAAAGGCCCTTTTTGAGGAGCTTATATTCGGTGGGGCTTATGTACGGAGGGAGATTTGCGTTTCAAAATCGATTGCACTAGCTTGTACTGGGAAGGAAATTTATCATTTTTGCTTTGTTTTACTTTGTATTCCAGAGCAAATTCCATGTACAAGCCCCCCGGGGTGCTTATATTAGGAGGGGCAATTTAACGGAGGGTTTTTTGCACTACGATTTTGAGGGGCTTATATTTGGAGGGGCTTATACATGGAGGGGCTTATTTTTGGAATTTTACAATATGATTACAATTGCTACATGAGAAACAACAATTATTACAGCTTAAAAAAATCATCAAATGATGCTGCAGAAAAACTAAGAAAATACAGTAGCAGAATACATTTGTGTTTGCAGAGAATAATAGTTATTCTTATCACTCATTTCACATTATCTTAAGAATTGGAACTTGTTAACGGCTCAGCAGAAAACTGCTTGATCCCTGATTTCACAAACATTTAACGTTTTTAATATCATTTGTTCAATGTAACTGGTGTAGTGAATGATAGGGTGATAATGAGGTGATAATAGCAAGGTGTTGACATAAAATAGGGACTTTTTTCCCAAAGATGTCTATAGACATTTCTTTCTTTTTTCTTATGCTTTGCACAAATAATAAAAATCGCACTACCAGCTCACTCTGCTGTGCTCGCTTCACTTGCGGACATGTACAATTCTTAAAAAAGAAAAAATGTCTGTGGACAGGCTATATTTTTCGGACTGTGCAAATTCTACAATAACCATGAAAATGTTCCTACTCACAGGGGACCCCCTCACTGTAACCTTGTCAACCCCCCTAAACTGCCGGCTGGTAACCCCAAAACAAACCCTGATCCTAACCCCATGAACTGAAAGAGGAGTGGGGTGGGGGTGGGGGGGGAATAACCATTATCCTAAACCTTGATGTCCTGGCCCAGGTTGTTCAAACATTGGATAGCGCTATCCACCGGATAAATCAGTATCCAGCGGATAGCGTAATTGATTTCCGTAATACTTATCCGCTGGATAGTGATTTATCCGGTGGTGGATAGTGCTATCTAACGTTTGAACAACCGGGGCCTGAAGGCTAATTTTTTGATGAAAATTCTTATTAGGGCTACACCAAAATAAAAAGCTGGTTTAAGCAATTTAAGTGATCCTACGAGTATAGAAATTTACGGCTACGCAACATACCAATGAGGGATGACAAAATTAATCAACTTAGCTAAAATAGGACAAAAGGGAAAATGCTAACCTGACTAGGGCCATCCATTGAAACTTTAAAGTATCTAGCATTGTGTTCATCTGGAACAGCCGTTATACCAGGAACAGGTTCGGCTTGCAATCGCTGAGTTTCCTAAAGTCATAATAACTTTAGTTGCAATTCGAAAGGGAAATACCGGGTTTTAAGCTACACTCAGAATGTCTAATTAATAAATCAAAAGGCTGACGATTTCAGTCTCTTTGTTTGCTCGTTGGTAAAATCGCATGTCCATAAGCCTACCTTGGTTATTCTACGAGGCAAACCTGCTGCCATCTCACTATAAACTGTCTAAAAACAGGGAAAATATGATCAAAAAAGTAGACAAAATCCCAGAGGTTCACATTCAAGTGGGAAACCAAATTGATTGCTGGGAAATCTTTGAGCGGGTAGGGCATGAGCCCGCAGTGTAATAAATACGTAGATACTTCATATATGTTGTTACTAACCAGATGACCAATAAAACTCGATCACTCGGAAATCACACGATGGCGGCAAGCAATGAGCTTCCTAAGGTTTGTTGAGAAATGTTAGTTTTCTTCGTTAGTTTTTGATAGATTAGTGCATTTACAGTGTCGTGTTGGTAATATGAATGTTGGTATTCTTTGCGCACAGAGATCTATTATTGACGTAAGGTCTGTACACGAAGTATTTTTGGATCTAATGTTCTAAATACCTGCGCTTTATGAAGATAATTATGCTCGTGACACACATAAACTTACAATGAATCTTTTTCACTTCATTGCCAAGCTTAAAATTTACCTTTTATCTTTACTCCTCAAAGTGAAGCCTCCCAAGGGCTGGAAGCGATAAGTGACATTGTTCTGAAGAATGAAAGTGCGACGAATTGTCAGAAGTGTGACAGTCCGTGTTTAAGGGATCAAGGGAAAGCGGCGTCTGTTTAATCTAGGCAGCGAAACAACGAACTATGTATCGTAATTTCCGATCTTTTTCTACAATTTTCTTTGAACCGTCTTGTAATATGTTATTGTTGTTAAAAGAGTACCACCAGGGACAAAGGTTGACATATGGAACATTATACCATCGATAGTCACGATTGATCAGATCATGACTCGCACGCGATTATGACCATTCTTTCGCAGTGTACAACAATGACCAACACCTAAAGCTAGTATAAAATTTATAAAGTCGTTTTAGTTACTAATTTATTTATTTATTTATCTTTTTATAATCGACACCACCCTCCGCTCATGCCCAGTCTTTTCTGTGAAAGGCAGAACTCCAACATTCCCCTAATTAATTTAGGATTCTGGCAGGTGCTTTCTGACAACTTTTCTTCCACCCTATCCATAAAAGAATGAACACGTGCAGGAAGAAGCAATACAGTAATCCTGAGACCTCATGAACAGAAATACCACTGCTGTCATTCTTACCTTCTACAAGTATATTTCAATTCAATTTGAAGATGTTAATAGGGTCCATTCAGAACTCACTGAAAAATCCCTTCTTGTGCACGAGTTTATAGGACACTAGTGTTCTGTTCCAAAAAATATGCATGCCCACCCCATAGAGGGTCTCAGGAAATTCCAAAGGAAAGAGGATCGTAAGGCCAAATTTTTTAAAGGAACTGTATGAGGCTGAACTGGAATTTCCAGGGGGTTAGGAATCTAACCAAAAATCTCTCAACGGGGGGAGTATGATGCAAAACAATAATGTTTTTTCCCCTATAAAAATAGGACTTTGTTGAGAGAGCTGTGAAGGTTTACCGAGAATATGCCACTGTTGCCTCAGTTACCACTGCAAAAGTCTCATTACTAAATAGAGATTCCAGAGGTGATGTGAATGAACTTAGCATTGTGTCCAAATGGTCTCGACGGGATTTGGAGAAAAATGAAAGTCGTAGTTTTCTCAGAAGCCATATTGCAAGTTATGAACCCACAGCAAAATCCATCACCAACATCAGAGAGCCTTCATTTCCAACAGAAGTTCAAAACTTGTAAGTCTTAATATGTTTTTACATTTTTACTTTCCTCAACTGCAGTTATATGTTTACAATAATAACATTGTAAATCTGTTTATAAATATTACACGTATATTTCCTCATTAGCTTAATGCATTTCATTCTCCCGAATATTGAAAACAAACAACACAATTACTATCTTTCTCTTATGTCAATATTCTTCCTTTTGAAATTTGATTTAAGATAACTTACATGCAAAACTTCATAAAGAATGTAAGACTTATCTATGACATTCTCTTATATAGGCAATTAAGTAGCATGTCACCAAGTGGCAAACTTCAGGCAATAGTGAGAAAGGTGCCAGGAAAAAATGGACAAGAGGAGAAGCAATTTTTGGAGGTAACTGTATAATGATAGATATATGGGGATTGAGAGATTCAATCCAATAGTAGTGTGGCTATTACTTATGTTGGATATCGAAATGAAAATAAGGACATAATGGTTTCAACGTAGTTTGATTCTCAATTTTCTTTCAGTCAATCAACAAATTTATTTCGCTATGCTAGCCACATGGAACAAAAGCTTATTTCCAGGTGGGGCATAGGCAAACACATTACATTACAGAAAAATAGAAGCGATGATGTGGTGTTCACAAAGTTACAAAAATTCAGGGAATAATAATTTCATTAGAATATGTAAACATTTGCACAATATAGACTCACTAGTACTAACTTAGTTGATGTACAATTATGTTTCTGTCTTGTTCTGGTGTAGATTTGGTCATGTGGTAACTTGTTTAAGAGTGTGGATGTGCAGGCATTTGACAAACATGGAAAGATCTGTGAGGACTGTAAGTATTTGATAATGACAAGCGTTAATGAATAAATGATTTTCCATATTGCAGGTACCTGGGGGTGGTGACATTGCCCTTCCCTATCCTAGAAATAATTGTCCCACCCTACCCCCATAATTAGTTCTTAGCCCACCAAGGATTCCTCTGTGTCCTTCTCAGAAAGATGACTGTTTTGAATAGGTTTTCATCTCGAGAAATGTTCAATGAAAAGAACAGTGCATCTTAGAGAAGACTAAAGCCACTTACCATACTCACTGGCCAGACCAGTCCAGTCATAAGGAGAATTCCACTATTAATCAGGACTATTTTAATTCCTGAATGGTGCGCATGGCAATGATGGGTTTTAGCAAAAACTTTGAGGAAAAAAAACTAATATTTCATCTTTAAAATTTCAAAATGACCCGTCTTGCCTGCAACTTCTGGGTTTTGAAAAGCACCCTCAGTCAAACCGGTTGTTTTTTTTTTTTTCGGTTTCTTTTCCAGCGCAATTTGGTTGCTTAGCTTGGTCATCTAATGAGCAGTTCTTGTTATATGTGGCAGAAAAGAAGCTGCCAAAAGCTGTTTCATATTTTGAAAGGCAAAAACCAAGTACCGGTAAGTTGAACGTCTGATCATTGCTGCTATATTTTATGTTTAGAGCGTTTATTTGATTAATTAAATAGATCATAGTTTACGGTCGAGAAGTCTGTTTTATATTTTGAAAGGCAAAAACCAAGAAGTGGATAGTTTAACATGGGATTATTGTCGCTATATTTTAGGTTTAAAGCGTTTATTTGATTTCCCCGTACAATGTAACTAAATGGATCATGGTTCACAGTCGAGATGTCTGATTATTCTTCCATTACCATTATGTTTCTGTAGGTGATTTATCTGACAAGCAAGTTCAAGAAAAGGTACCAACAGAACGCAATACATCCTACTCCCTAATCGTCCCTGGTCGGTTAGAACTGGGCTTTACCTTCGCGAAGAATGAGCCGAAAACGCGTTCTCTTACCTGCTCCACTCCAGACCTCGCGACAGCGGTTTCGCGCGGTCAGAGAGGCGAGATAACGGGTCTACGATCTAGACTGAGCAAAATGTATTTAACACAAAAAAATGTGAAAGTTGAACCTCGCTCAACTTTTACGTTTACGTGTGGCCTTTCATACATTGCCTCTCTTTCAGTGACGCACGTAAATTCACGGAAAAATTACGCGACAGTGGAAATCAACCCTTAGGCAGCTGTAATTTTGTAGTTCTTTATTAAAACCGTAAGTTTTGTTTGCTTATCACCCCCAGGGGAGTAAATTTGAATTCAAGGATGATTGGGGAGAGCAGCTAGTTTCAAAGTGTTCTCCTATCCTTGCCATCTTTGATGTAATAAAAGAAGAGATTACAGTACTGGATGGTGTTCCTGATCATTTATCAGCTGGACAGGTAGGTAGAATAATGTCTGAAAGAATGATTTCGTGTAAATCCCAAAGAGAATGATGAGACAGAGACGGAAGTGGAGTGGTCAGCCGTCGTTGATCATGGCGGCCACAAATTTCATGTCTCCGTTTCTTATTTTTGTTTCTGCACTTCTTCTTCATTCCAAATTGGAACTCATTACCACTAACTCTGCGCTGTGTATCCTCAATCCAGTCATTTAAAAATCGCCTCTCTAATTTTAACATTTCAAGGTATATTAAAGCCCTAGCCACTATTATAACTAAGACCACTGATCATACTCCTGCATCATATATATCCTGCATGGGGGATTGATGCGGTTATCAATTTAGATTTAGATTTAGAAACGCCCAGTTTAGCCCTTGGTACATGTCAATTTCACCAAAGCTGTTTTTAGACCAATAATCTTGTCCTAAGCGAGTTTTTATAATGCATTAACCGAGAAGGCCTGGGAAGGCGTTGTACATGGACTAGGTAAGGGAACATAGACGACCAGTGAGCCGAAATAATATGAAAACTTTCTTTTATTAGGCATGCTGGGGACCGGACGATAACAGCGTTGTATTCGTTGGTTGGTTTAATGAGCCTTACAGGCTTGGTCTTATCTATTGCCCAATTCGAAAGTAAGAAGTTAAGCACGTTTTTACCTAGGAAATGTAATGTTTGTGGAATAATGTTCGAAACTCTGTTAACGGTTAATATTAAATGCTTAAAAGAGCTAGATCACATAGCTTCAGTTCATATTGCCCATTTTTTCGTTATTGTAAATTCCAAACACTCAAGACTCACTCACAAAATCACTTGAACATTTTCGGTGTCTTTTTTTTTTCTGTTAGATTTTACTACATCCGAATTCATTCCGTTGTTATGTAGCAACTTCTGTTTTTCGTTGTTGTTTATTTGTTTGTTTGGTTTTTTTTTTCAGAAGCGCGTTGTTTTCCTTGTCTTTGGATCAAGCAAATAGTCTAGGTAAGCGTGCAATCATTAAGAATTGAGACCCGTCAAGAATTACAAGCTAGAATTTTATCTTCTTTCTCGCCTACATCAAAAAACGTGCATAGACCATTTCTGTAAATGCTAAGAAAAACTCTGCGAGAAATACCACAGTTTCTACATAGAAACCTCGTTCCCAAGGTACTCTATACTCTCCACTCGTCCCTCGAGAGGCCTCTAGCCTAGAAACCAGGTTGCTTACGTAACCGTTGCTTAAGTCAGGTCGTGGTTCAACGCTCCGGCCGGGTTATTTCAGCATGAAGCTTTCCTGGACGACTTTGACTGCGTTAGAGCTCTGGAGCCCGTTTCTCCAAAGCCCCGATAATTACAGACCTCGGAAAGCTCTTGTTGTTTACAAACTAGATAAAGTTTTCAATAGTTTTGCAATAAACCTATCAGTTAACGTAAAGAATTGGACTGGTTTGTTGACAAGGACTCGCGCTTTTGTTCATTAGATTTTGATTTTTAGTTGAATAGTTGCGAGAAACGGGCCGCAGAGCTTTTAATAATATCTTGCGGATGACTTCATGCTTTAACTTTAATCGGTAAATCTATTTCCTCATTAATTTAGAACAACTGACTGATGTCAAGTATGCTGTGCACTCTCCTCGCTTTAACCACGCCAAAGATAAATTGGTAGGTACAGCATGGTTGTCTCTTACGAATTGAACCAAACGGAGTTACTTCCCGCAAGATTCACGGAGTTTCGCCAAAAAACATTGCCATTTAGGAGATCTTGAAGTCGATCAGCTTATTGAGTAATACTTACTTTCACTGTGGGAAAGACAGCTTTCTAGTTCCCTGTCTTTTTTTCTTTCACTGTGATGGAAAACGGGCGACGAAAACTGCGTCCGCAGGTACCCATAGAGAGACGGTTCGTCTCTAAGGTCTTGCGGAAAAACAAGGCACTGTTTCGCTCTGTTTTTTGTCAATTGTACAGATTCTCTTTTCTTTTTCTTTTTTTTTTCGTTGTCGCCTTATAGATTTACATTGCCTTGGATGTCGGTGGTGCGCACTGCAAATGCGGAAGGTTAATGCAGGTTTGTGTTTCCTTTCTTCCTTGTTGTTCTTGTTTGTTTACCCTTAATACAAATCTTTATACTTCACCAACTAAATGACTGCGTTAAAATGTTTATTTTAGTATGACTGGAAATCGAAAGTTACGTCGACGATCGTTGATGTTGTGGACGTTCCAGAAAGTAAGAAATCTCTTTCTAGTCTGTATTCTTTAGCCTGAGTATCAGGCGTTTCTGGGGGAAAAGGGGAAAGATGGAAGCGAAAAAGGGATAGATCTGTCTAAAATCTCCTGTCCCCTAGCCCCTTAGGAAGGCCTGATACTCAGGCTAGTATTCTTTTGCTTTTATGTCGATGTTTTCTTTAGCTTAAAAACGTAATTTTGTTTAGAGAGAGTGAAACTGGACAGTTTTAAGAACTGATAAACATGTGGCCCACTAAGGGGTAGTGTAGGAGCAGCTCGTAAGCTCTCTCCCAATTGTTCGCAGGAAACAATGGCATGTCGTTCTTCCAATTGTTTTGGTATTGTTTGGTGCAGGAAAACGCACCATTGGTGACTTCTCTTCCGAGGAGCTACTGCATGACCCCCACTAACTGTCCCCAACTAATTAGGCAATTGGTTGAGTAAACTTTGATGGGTAGGTTTTTAAGGAGAGGGGAAAACCGGAGTACCCGGAGAAAGATCTCTTGTAGCAGAGAAGGGAACTAACAAGTAACTCATCCCTTATAATGGTGTTGCCTTGGAGATTTGAATGCAGGCCAACCTCATTCCCAGGGCCTTCTCGTTTTCCAATATGGCGGCGGCAGGAAGGCCCTAAGGATGGTCACATTGGTTGAAGGCTAGTGCTCTCACTACTGCATCATCCCTGTGCGGCCCTGATAGGCCTGAGGTTTCAAAGTGTCATTCCAATCCCCGCCCCCACCCCTCCCCCCTCACTGCCACCCCTATCTTCCCCATGTATTCTGTAAAATAATTTAATTTTATCGAGGGTCCCGTGGAAGGTAAAGGAACGTTTAGCCACAACCTACATGTACCGTTGTTGGTGTGTGAAAGTGAACCCTGGATCTTAACTTTGTTATTATTTAACACGTATTACAGGAGGTGGTTTTGCAGGGATTTACATATGGGATGGTCTTCTAGAGCGTTGTTTGAGCACAGATGGAGACCGTGTTGTCCTTAGCACTGTCTGGAGAAGTTCTCAGGTTAATATTTAGTTCACTTTTGTCTTAACGTTATTTTAAAATGCGCTAACATCTTTTACAGGAGGTGGATTTGCAGGCATTTATAGTCGAGGCCTCTCAGAGCGTTGTTGGACAAAAGAAGGAAATGCTGTCGCAATTAGTACTCCATGGCGATGCTCTCAGGTTAAATGGTTTTCACTACTAATAAAAACAACAGTAATGATAACGATGATGATTAGAATAACATCAATAACGGTAGCCTGAGATCATGCCCTCTCCCTATTATCACGGGAAGAGGGCATGATACATTTCTTTGTCGGATCACATGTAAAAAAAGCCAGAATCTGGACTTTTTCCTGATTGGATAGGAAACAATACGGATGATTTGCGCTGTTCCAATTGGCCAAAATGCCGCCATCCGTTAGTTGTTGTTGATTTCAGTCTGCACTTTTGCTTGCGTCATGAGCAGTAAATACACACGCGAGTTCGTTATAAAATTTCTGCCGGCTCAGTTTTCTTGAATTTGAAGAATGCCTCAATAGAAATTTCACCCATTGAAATATTTTCCATCTCATCGTATACTAAAAAGTTGCAGTCAAAAATTCACCGATCATTTGAATGCAATTTGATACCGGCTACAAGTTACAGAAGCAACAAACGGGTTCGCTTTTCAAATAATCAATTCATGAATGGAATCTTGACCTGGTTTGACTGTAATTCCTCCTTCAGAAACCTGCGAATTATTCTGAACGATCTTCGCTTTCACAACACCTTTCAGTTCGTAAAATATGGTGCTTCAGCCTAATTTTTTTTTCACTGCTTTCGGCAGAGAACGAAGTCAACGAGCTTTAACCAGTAAATTCTTTATTATTTGTAGCTGCTAAATAAAGGTACGGCAGCTCCAGCTAGCTCTATTTGAACACATTTAAAATTCTTTTTAGGAAGCGCTATCTGAACATGGACGTACTTAAAAATGTTCTATTCCCTAATTAAAATTGATTTCAAAAGAGATATTATTCGCGCCAAAATTTGATTCCCGTATGGTAAACGCTTATTGGCTAATAACATGACAGGTCAAGGAGACGTTAGATTATGTAAATTAGGGGGCGGTTAACGGCTCGTTAAATGAATGTATCAGGCGTTATTTTTTTTCCCTCTCGAGCCAAAGAAACAAAGAAGCAAAAAAAAAAACGCCTGATCTCAGGTTACAATAACGGCAACCACATGGTCACGGTAACGGGAAGGACAGTGATTATAATGGCGATGATGGTGATGATGATGATGATGATGATGATGATAAAGATGGATCTCTTTGTTTTAATGATGAGAGACAGAAAGAGTTTTACAATGGAATGAAGAAACCAAATATAAAACATAGATTGTGTTCTAACTACATTTGTACTGGCAATATTTTTATCGTCATGTGCAAAACTTTAAAAGTTCCTAACCCTAACCCTGACCCCGTAAATAACCATCCTTCTTAACTTTACCTAAGTAACGGTTTTGCTTTTTCTTCTCATTTCTAGAAAATTATTCTCGCCAACTGTACCAACAAGACAGTGACTAACTTAACAACGGGTAAGTAGACTACCCTTTCATTGGAATACATAGCTACTTTCTTTCTTCCATTAGATGTCCAACCTATTATGGAAAGACATTGTCCACTCCTCCATCCTGCAGGCGATTCGTTTGCTCATTCCTTGCAGTTAAACCTTTGTTACTGCTTGTTTTTTTCTGATTTCAATTTTTTATTTCAGCACCTGGTTCTTGGAGCCTACTTGATGTCAACAGTGATATCATATTGGCTTCACATTCGGCGCCAAACTCTCCTCCGAGACTGGTAGGTGGAAGGGAGAAGTTAACTTTCTTCTCTTAAAGGCTTTAGGCGCTTAACATCAGACACACATGTATGTGGACTACAATAACAGCTAGTGTACTAGAATAAAAACGAGTCTTTTTTCGACTAATGATTCACTTGGTAACTGAATGTTGTTCCTTTATTCAGATGGTTGCAACCCTGCCTGATGAAGTCCCCGAGTCCGGCCTTTCTTGGATAACAGTTGGTAAAAATATCGATATTTCCTTCGATCAATCAGGTTGATAAGTTATAAGACCACACAATACTTGAATTTCTCGCACAGTTTGGCGTGCTAATCACCTAGTGCATGAAACTCGAATACCTGATATTTTTCAATCTCAAAATGGGTTTATTAAATATTTATCTAAGTATTTGTTTATTCATTTTTGTGTATTTCCTTAGCTCAGTCTGCAGACCTAAATCTTGAGAAAGAAATCACCTGGACGCTGATGACATGTAAACCCAGTGAGCAATCAGGTTAGTATCATTTCATCTTGCCTTCAGGATGATCGCGTTGCCATTGCGATCAAGTTCGCCTTCGTTAGACGTGCAGTGATGGCAAAGAGATCTGCCAAAAAAGTATGCTGCACCTTCTTCGTTTTTGTTCGCTTGTTAAACCTGTTATGAAATATTTTGAAGGATATTTTTAAATTTGTCCCATGTTTTAGTCTCGCTTTTATTTCATTAAGTTGATCAAGGTTAGTCAGGATTTTGTTCACTTGGGTATTTTCCTGTTTCTATCTTATGATTTAATTGTTACTTAAATTTATGCTTAGCTCTCAAATTTAGTTAAACCGCTATTATTTAACTTGTTAGTAGGGAGAGTTAAAAGGAGTAAGAGTTAAGAGTTAGAACTAACGACGAAAATGTGAAGTCGACTCTCGGTACCTTCGCATAGCGAGGAAGCTGCTTGAACACCCCATAATCCCGTTGCTTTTTTATTTTCTCGATTCCTTCTTCTTCGTCGTAGTTGCACTGTATATTAAACGGTGTAGATGCACTAGCTGTTGTGCTCTGGACACTGTCAAGTACAAATAAAGTTAATTTTGTTTAATTTCGCTCTACTCTTGTCCATTTTACAGATTTCCAAGATGAATACGAAGCCGTGTTGATTAAGCCTGTAATGAAAGATAACAAGAAGCCTGCGTTGATTGTTTTTTCTCATGGTGGACCGCACACGGCCTACACTTTAGACTTTTCCCTCTATCAAGCTTGTTTCTGTAAACTTGGATTTGCGATTTTAAGTGGTAAGTAAAGCTACATGCAAGCGGACGCAACATTGTTGGATGTTACATGTTGAGTCCGTTTGCACTCCCTGTTGAGTGTTGTTGCGTGTTGGTGTACAAAGTTTGAAACCAGACAAACTTTTAGCCCCGTGCAAACGGGCACAACACTGTTGGCCAACAAGTCTCAACACTGTTGAGAGTTGTTGCGTCCGTTTGCACGTAGTGAAAACCATTAAGTATTAAGTTAGACTAATCCATCTTTAATGTCTGATATTTAGTGGACATACTTGCCCCTCTAATAACGAAATTTCTTATTTGTAAGAGGGCTTAAAATAACGGCCGGTCAACGGACAATGTCCGGTTAAAAGTAAGCTTCGTCCGGTCAAATTCTTGGATGGCCGGAAACTTTATCCGGTCCTTTACGCCTCTAATGGACATTTCAATTCAGAATTTCTGATTTTAGATTAGTCTTTTTAATAAGGGTTTTATAAAGTGATATCTTTCTTTAAATTGGTGAGTATTGCATGGGTTTTAAGAGACCAGTATGTTTACCAAGTTTCTTGCAGATTTTCCACATTATTTTTCTTTTAAAATATATATTCATTTTTAGTTAACTATCGAGGATCCCTAGGGTTTGGTCAGACCTCTCTTCACTCACTTCCCGGAAATGTAGGAACACAAGATGTCCAGGACGTTCAGGTTTGAAAAACACCAGAATTTAACGAAACTTCCGCACTATAAGTTGTGGAGCAGTATTGAAAAACGAATGTGAAAGTACTGTTCACTAGCTTTCATTTGAATTAATAGTACCATCTGAAAGTGCTGCTGAAGGGGTTTCATAACTCTGTGTGTCGAGTCGAGACAACTTGTCCGCTCGTACAAGTTGTGAAAAGTATTTTTCCACTCGTATCATGTCGACAGTATTGGACATGACTGGAACGTAGCACCATAGGATTTCATCCACAGACTCAAAGTTAGGGCTACATCGTAAAATATATAGTAACCACATGAAAGTACTGCTGTAGAGGTTTCATTTGAATGGTAATACCTTAGGATTTCATCCACAGACTCAAACGTTAAAACTACATACTAAATATATAGTACCATGTGAAAGTACTACTGAAGAGGTTTCATTTGAATGGTTACACCGTAGGGTTTCATCCACAGACTCAAAAGTTAAAAATAAGTAAGAAAAAATAAAGAAAAAGTAAACAATGCACTTGAATAAGTAGTACCATTTAAAAGTACTGCTGTTAATTTATCGTACATATGATGAATAGATGTCTAGAGCGTCGGCATACTACGAAAGCAATTTTTGTTTAATTTTATTCTTAATCGCTGAAAACGTGTCTGTGTTTTTTTTAGCGTGTTGCTGTGAAAGTTTTGGAAAGCGGAGAGGTAGATACGTCAAACGTGTTTGTCATGGGTGGGTCCCACGGGGGATTCCTGACCACACACCTTATTGGCCAATACCCGGTAAGAGCAAACGTTTCGTTTGATCGGAAAGTATTCGGGAAATTTCGAGTATCTTCGGGAATGATCAGTCTTGAGTGATGATGTCATAATATCAGTAGATGGTATCGACTAAATCGTGTGGATTGTATTAGGGAAACATTGTTTGCATTTACTTGACTTTAGTTACCTCGTGGATCTTTTTGTTATTAGTATCATTATTTTTCGTTTTCAAAAGGTAAGCTTAGAAAATCACCGTGTGAAATAATAAACGACAGAGCGTTTTCACTTACGTGGCCAGTAGCTATGAAAATTAATTGGAGCAGAAGAAAGTTTTTACAGAAGAAAAAAATTCAACTCCCGTAGATTTGGTTTGGGGCACCAATATGGCCGCCGTTTCAATGTTTTTGGATACCAATATGACGGAGGTGACGTCACGTCACGTTAAAACGTTATTTTCTCCATTTTTAGGATTTCTACAGGGCTGCTGCCACGAGAAACCCAGTGGTCAACGTAGCTGGTAAGCAGGTAGCCTGCGTAGAAGGCGCTTGAAATAATGGGCGCAAGACAGAACGGGGTGCCAGAGGGAGACACGCATGTATTTCTCGCGTGTCTCCATCGCGCGCCCTGTTCTTTCTCAGCGGAAAGATGGACGATTGCTACACCCTGCGAGTAGTGGCTACACTTTCGCATTGAGTAAAGTGCGTAGTAGCTCTTTTTGCGCGGCCGCCGGCAATTCTGTTAAATTCTAAGCTGATGTATGTCCTCCTATAAAGCTTTTGAAAAGCAAAGTACTGTCTTTAATGCTGGTTTAATTAAAAAAAAAAAGGAAAAAAGAAAAGACTAGAAAGCTAGTGTGAAAAAATTTCTCGAAACGTCGGGGAGTGTTTTGATCAAAGCTGAAGCTTGCGTTTCCTACTTTTATCTCCCCTTTTGTATGTAGTATCATTTGTGAAAATCTTTAATATGAATCGCGGGTATATTTCAAAAAGCTACAAAGAGACCAAGGATACAAATGACCGGTAACACACAGAGCGGGGGCAGATTTAGTGTCAACTATTAGCAGTGTTATGATTTAGGTCAGCATTTCTTTATTCTTGGTTCCAGCCATGGCAAGCATTTCAGATATTCCGGATTGGTAAGTCAGTATTCACTACTCATTTGTACTCAGTGGCTTTTTTCGGTTTTTGGTAAACTACGGTCAGGCGGCCCTTCTTCCGTTTTTGCTTTGGAGGCGAGGAGAAAAGGACGGCGTCCTCTTTTCCTCCTTTCCTCATTCGCTGACTTTCGTGCTATCCCGTTCCTCGAAAACAAGAACGCCTGATCGCAAGTTAGGTTTTTGGACGGCTCGACTTTTTGTTCTTGTTCCCAGGACCTCTCTTTTTTTCGCCGGGGGTAACTAAGACGATGACGGGAGCGATGGCCTGGAGAACAGGCGCTATTTTGGCGCGTTTTTCAGGGGAGCACGAAGCGGGCCTGGAGCGCGAGACACGTATGTCTTCCACTGTCGCGCTCCACGCCCACGCCCGCTTCACGCTTGCCTCCCCTCGCTTGAAAAATGCGACAAAATTAACGCCCGTTCTGCAGGATAGAGCAGCGAAAACGTCACTTAAAACTTGAATTCGCGCTGTTCCAAAATTAATCAAATCTTAGTTCAATATGGGCGAATTTTTCTGGATTTTTCCCCTGCCTTCCCTGTTGTTGTTGCTCAAGCGCCCTATTTTAAAACGGTGGATTTTACTGACCCATTGACTTGTGCTTAGTCTTGTTGAAACGGTTCTTTCTCATTATTCAGGTGCTTTTTCGAAGCAGGGCATGGTTTTAGTCACGACAGTACAACGACTCCTCAAATGCTCACGCAAATGCTTCAATTTTCGCCCATTAGTCACGTAAAAAAGGTAAAGCAATGAAGATTTGTTGCTTTTTTTGGGGAGGGGAGTGTGTGTGGGGAGGGGGAGGGGGTTGGTGAAGGTGCAACTGAGCAAATAGTGAATTCGCATCACCTTGCTTGGGAAAATCTTGAATTTTCAACATCTTGTCACCACAATCTTGAATGTTCCACTTCTTTCTCGGTAACATCTCGAATTTTCAACATCTCAGTGGAGACAAATAGAGACGATTACTACTGTTTGTATTTTTATCCTGTTTTCTTCCAAACATGTTGTGGTTCTTAAAGTAACATTTTCCTTTACGTCATAGGTGAAGACCCCTACATTAATTTTGGTGGGAGAAAAAGATCTTCGAGTTCCCTGCAGTCAAGGAAAGGTGTTCTATAAATTACTTAAAGCGCAAGGAACTGAGACTAGGTGAGCGCAAAAATGGGCAACTGTTCTCCAACAAAGTAAAACCATGTCTAAAGGCGTATCGGATGAAAGGTCTTCATTGATTACATCTTGTTTATGACACAAAACGTTCGTGGTAAAAAGGGAAACGAAATGATTTATCGTATGGATAGCCTACTGTTCACGTTGCCATATTTCTAGACTGAAAAACGCTCGGTTGTTTTCTCAAAATCATTAAAGGGAGGAAAAAACCGTATTTTTAGCGTCTCTCCCCAGTCTCGCTCTCTGTTTTCAGCTTCGTTCCAGACTTTTTGTTGGACTTGAATACGCAAAAATACGGACTGTTTTGCAGTCTACCATATTTCTGCCACGGGGGTTGGTGGGCAGTTATAATTGCAAATTTATATTTTTTTTATCTGTTTTGACAAGGAGTTAACGTTCGAAAGTCAGCTTTCTGGAGATTATTCTGGAGAATTTGTATTTGTATAGTGGGACTTAAAAGGGTTAAATTAATTTGCCAAATCAGTTGTTAGCAAAAATTTTGAACCAGGAAGGAGTGAAAGCGTCAACGAAGGAACGAAACATAAAGAATAATTTCAAAGTAAAGGGATTAAAATTGATAGTACTTGAACACAAATCTCACAGCGTTTTTTCATTATTTTCAGGTTGCTGTCCTACCCAGAGGATAATCACCCGCTAAGCAGGGTGGAGACGGAAAGCGACGCTTTCATTAACATTGCTCGATGGTTCCATGAACACTTAAATAACTAGTCCAACAATTTTACACTTGAATTCTTAGGCTGATGTGAAATGACAGCATTATTATATTTATTTTTTGTGAGTGAAGAGTGTGCTCAGTACACGGTAAAATCAATTAAATCAGTATTAAGTGAAAAAAATACATGCTAATATGCTAATACACACTGAAGCAAGAGAACTTAAGTTCTCTTGACTAAAGACTAATATTCGTGACATCCTACTGTTTCATGGATGCAGCTTTAGGCAGATACTCCAGATCTTCTGCTTAAGTATGCAATATTTCAGTAGGTTCTTAGCTCTATTTTTTTTCGCGGTGGTCTGTTATGAAACAATCAAATAAAATTTATTCTCTTGTTGTTTACAGCTGAACATTTACTTTCGTTTTCACCCGAGACCGGACCTTTATTAATTTCTAGCCTCTTGGAGGCGTTTAGATGGCGGAGATCGAGTGGCGCGAAAAGGGAGCGACGCACCCCCTGGCTGTCTTTGCTGAACACTTCTCTCTATCTAAACGCCTGGAACAAGCCAATTGATTTCCAGAGACGTTTATTGGAATTGATTAACTGGACCGCATGGCACTTTGTCTGAGAGCAGTAGAACTGTAGTCTCCGAAAAAGCTGTTACTCTTCGACAACCGGGCATTTTTTTTCTCTTTTGATTTTTTTGTAGTTTTTACTGTCATCAAAACCCTTATAAAGGAGCTGGGAAAGAAATTGCCGATTTATTCGGAATAAATCATTGTTTCCCTGAGAAGTAGTCTTGCCTTCAGTTCTGCTTCATTAAGTTTACTTTAAGCTGTAATATTTTTGTTTTGTTCTATTTTTATTCCTCTTTGTTCTGTGACACTCGCTCAGATAGTTGTACTTTATTCAGATTTGTCTTTATATACTTCCTACACGTACTTCGCCCCATTCTAACCTGAGATCAGGCGCAATTTTAGCGTTCTCATACATTCTCTCTAACGGCTACCGCTTTTTCGTTTCGCCTTGCCCGCCAGAATGTTATTTTCAAAGCGAAACGAAAATGGAGCCTGATCTCAGGTTACCCCATTATTACAGTTTTCACACATTTTACTATACATCAATTTATATATGAATATATAGCCCCACACGGAGTATTGTTTATCCATGATGATGCAGTTGATCGGTGAAAAAAAAGGATTTTAACTTTTACGTTTTAACTACAGCAGTTAAAGGGCTTACTCGAACAATATTTTACTTTCAAACAAATGCACAGATACTTTTGTTAGAGTTTAGCTAAATAACCAAGGAATCACTATTGCGGACAGAAACATTGTTTCTGGCCAAATGTGAATAAACTAAGACACATTTTTTTCAAAAGCAGAATTATGTGCTTGAAGCTAGAATGTTTTCAAGAGTTGTTGGGTTTTGTTTTTGTTTGATTAATGCAATTTTCTTGCACTGATCCAAGGGGTAATGAGCGATGTGATCTTAGGACTATGGCTAGCATTCTTTGCTTCGAAAATGGTGGAGAAGAACTACAAAATTTCAGGTGCTGTCGATAACCAACGACAGATGGAACCCGCTGTTAAACAAGAAATATACAATGCCAGTCGCCTGGGATTATCGACTGTACAGGGGGGAGCGAATCAAGAGATTTTCAGTGGAGAGGTACAAACCATAGGAAGCGAGATAAAGAATATGCTAAACAGTTGTTCTTCAAATTGTAAAATGTTACAAGAATCCCAGATATAAATATTTCTAACAACAGGTGGCAGATTTTTTCAGTCTGATAGCGTGACGAGGCTCAAAAACAAGACCTATTAGTTGCGTGACCTAGCTGTCACATGTAGGGAGACTGGTGCAAAAGAAGAAAACTGTAGAAAAAAACATGGCGGGTCGATTCTCGTACTTTCTCCTCTCAGCTCTTTTCACAGTCGTTTTGATTATCGTCGTACGGACGGTGATGTTTTCCTATCGTCCAGTAGCCGCTGTTCCTTGTCTACCAACCGATTTAGATTATATTCATGCAGACGAAGCCGCGAGGAAAAGATTTCAAAAAGCGATCACCTTTAAAACAGTGTCATATGATGTTGGGAATTACAATCGACAAGAGCTTCGAAAATTTCTTGAATTTATCCTAGAAGGTAAGAAACTAAACTTTATCCCCGACAGTGTTTTTCTACACTAAATGGGTTGGGGGTCGAGTTTTATTTGGACAGCTATAGGGTCAAGTTTCTCAAGGGACGTGCCATTTTTCATGATATTTTTTATCTGCACTCCCACCCCCGCTAAGGATGACGGGATTCCAATAGGAGAGTTTGGTCGAGTTTTTCTTCAAAGAAGCTGAAAAAAATTTTGACCCATTGCACAACTTTTTCCAAGGTGCCGACAAAGAACGAACCCTTCGGATTCCGTTTTTTCAATGCGCACCGACAAAACTTTGAGGATTTGAATTCCAGTCATCCTTAGGGGAGGGGGGGGGGGGGGGGGTGTTGATAAAAATTGAAAAATTAAAAATCCCAAACCAGTTACTATCCAGTTTGCAGTTGAGTGGACTTGCTTAATGATTATAAATAAGTTTCAAGTGCTTGGAATGTGCAGGTTTAGATGACTTTCAAAAGATATAAATTTATGGATGGCCTCATAAATATTTACAAAATATTGCGACTGTGTCTTTAATTTTTTCTTCCAACAGAATTTTCAGATGTGTTTAATCATCCTCTTGTGCAGCACAAAGTTATAGCAGATTACAGCTTACTTTTGTCTGTAAAAGGCAGTGACCCCTCTCTTAAACCATATCTCATTGCAAGTCACCTTGATGTTGTACCAGCAACCAATGAATCTTGGGAAGTACCCCCTTTTGAAGGGCGGGTCCATAATGGGTACTTTTGGGGGAGAGGAACATTGGATGTTAAAAATGGAGTCATGGTAATTAATCTTGCCTTGCAACCAATAAACCTAATCCCCACTAATTTTAACCTTAATGAGTAACAATGAATGAAGTTGAGCCTGATCACTCAAACTACTTCTCTCGACCTGTAGAGCATTTTTTATTGGTTTTCACAACACGAAGGTCTAAATTAAAAGGTAGAGCTGTAGTTTTGACATGATCAGAAAAAGATCTAAAAAAATGTTAAACATCCCAACTCAAGAGGACTTTAGGCTTGTTAAGTTTGGGGACTTGTGTTGACGTAATTTGGCCTTTTGCAAAAATATCATGTGGCGGATTCAATAACAGTGGAGGGGTGCCAGAAAGTCAGGCCTATGCTGTTAACTGCTTGCTTCTTCTTCCAAATTCCATTCCTTAAAATGCATGTGTAACAGCAGAATTTTTTAAAAAAACCAAGAATGATTTAATCTGGGTTTTCCCACATTGTATACAATATTATATAGGGCTCCATGGAGGCTTTAAAGTTTCTTCTCAATCTTGGATACAGACCTCAACGCAGCTTTTTCCTGGCTTATGGACATGACGAAGAGGTAAGTGGAAAAAAGATGCTAAAATGGGATTTGGTGGTTGTTCCATGGTAGCACAGTGGTTTAAAAGTATCCTTGGCTTAAATTTTATTTTCCTTTGTTACAGACTTGTTGTCATGTACATTGATCACCGTAAATTATGGAAAAACAAACCAAGGATAGAATTGAACCACAACACTTTTTCAAGGGTACCGTTCCTCTTGATAAATGCAGTAATCTTTTGCCTGTAGGTTTCTGGGAATGACGGGGCCCGACAAATTGCAGCACATTTAAAGTCACAACAGGTGGAGTTGGAATTTTTAGTTGATGAAGGGACAGTTATTGTCAAGGATGCTGTCCCGGGAATGAAAATTCCCTTTGCTTTGTGAGTATACAAATTAAAATGCAGAAGTTGCCTCTTTAAGAAATTTATAGCTACGTCTTTTTGCTCTCATATAATTCTCAGTGGGGTCATTGTGAATCAAAGTTATTTTTTTTGCCTGAAATCATCATGATGCATGGGTTATGGAAGTGGCGTCTTGCATATAACAGACCTTATTTTTGATATCTTTGATTCTTAGAATTGGTGTGGCAGAGAAAGGTTTTATCACAGCACAACTTAGTGTCCATACATCTGCTGGCCACTCGTCAATGCCACCACGGGAATCAAGCATTGGAATTATGTCAAATGCTGTAGCTAAGTGAGTACTAGCATTTGAGTGTGGCTTTTCTGTTGACTGTGTTGTTCTATCTTTGTTAAGCTAACCAGTCATTTCATCAATACCAGGGCTGAGTTGCTCAAAGCATGGTTAGCTTTAACCTTTGGTTTAGCAGTATCAAAACCAATACGTTGTCAAGGTATTAAACGCTGGTTAACGCTAACCATGCTTCGAGCAACTGGGCCCAGATGTATGGCCATTTTTTCATCTACCGCTTGAGCCAGCCATCCAGTCAGCCAGTTGCTCAGTCAGTTAGTCAGCCAGCCATTCATTCAGTCAGTCAGTCAGTCAGCCAGCCAGCCAGTCAGTCAGTCAGTTAGTCAGCCAGCCATTCATTCAGTCAGTCAGTCAGTAAGTCAGTCAGCAAGTCAGTTGGTCAGCCAGTCAGTCATTCATTCAGTCAGTCCTCCAGCCAGTCAGTCAGTCATTCATTCAGTCATCCAACCAGTCAGTCAGTGGGTTGATCGGTCAGTCATTCATTCAGTCAGTCAGCCAGTTAGTCAGCCATCCATTCATTCAATCAGGCAGCCAGTCAGGAAGCCAGTCAGTCAGTCAGTTAGTCATTCATTCAATGCATCCTCCAGCCAATCAGTAATCAGTCACTCAGCCAGCCAGTCAGTCAGTCAGTTCGGGAGTCAGTTAGTCAGCAAGTAACTCTGTCAATCAGACAGCTACTCAGACAGTCAATGAGACCATTTTTTTTTTCAGTCAATCACGTTTTCGTTTTAACTCTTTCGTAAATTTCATGTTTTGTTTTTGTTTATGTTTATGTTTTTGTTCAGATTAGAATCTTGTCCAATGCCAGTTGTCTTTGAGTCATCTGGACCAATCAGAGAAATGTTTGAAAGTTTTGCCCCTCAGGTAACAGTAAACTGTCTCCATGCAAGAGCTAGAAATTTTTCAGACTTTCACTACGCAAGCGAAGCAAAGGGATTATCATGTTGAGCTCAATTTGTTGTTTGTGATTTAAACACACCAAGAAGAATAAGGTATACCATGGTTTTTAGTCTCACATTTTACGATTACGTAGTGATTTCCTTCACAGTAATTTAATAATCTAATATCCGCTTATTCTACAGGTTCCGGTTTATATGAGGATCATAATGGCTAACTTGTGGCTATTTAGTCCAATTTTTACAAAGTAAGTAGTTTATTATAAAGCCTTTTTGAAATACTGTTAGTTTTTGTTGTTGCAATAATTATTGTCGGAGATCAACCAATAGCTGCCAGAGTTAAGAAGCCTTGAAGTAACTTTTAATTGCTTAGATTCATCGCTGTAACGCTTAGTACGTCTTGAACAAAAATAAAGTATCTTAAATTTTAAGTTAGGACCTTTCGTCTTACCTGAGCTGAGAACTAGTAGCCTGCATAGCTGTCGTTTTCGTTTCCTTTTAGCCAAACACAATACGCACAGGAGAAGTTCGAGGGCGAGCAAAACAGTAGGAGTGGTCTTGCTCCTCTTCTGCGCTTCCCCCGCCGGGCTAAAATTAACGGAAACAAATACTTCGCAGGCTAAGCACCAAAACAATAGCGTACCACGATTGCTCCGTTGCTAAGGTAAGACTAAATGTCGCTTCACATTCGTACGGTACGCTTTATGTACCCATTTCAATTATTTCTCTCTAACAGAATTCTTGAGTCAAAACCCTCCACTAATGCGTTTCTCCGTACCACAACCGCTATCACTCAATTTAATGCAGGGGTAAAGGTATGTGACAGTGCTGTATACCCATACGTAGATTATTCCACAGAGCAAGTCTTTCACGGTCGAGCGCAAGTGGCGACAGAAGACAGAGAGTGGAGCGGTGAAAGGGGCATGAAGCCTTAAACTTCTCGTTTCCCTCGCGATTCACACTGGCCTATGAGATAGCAGGTCGTTTCGCCCGAGGATACTGAGTTCGCCCGGACTTAAGTCGATTCGCTCGATGTGTATTTTTCGTTTTTTAAGCCTGAAACAAGGAACAAGCGTAAAGACAGGGACTGCACATATGAAATCCAAGCTTAACTAAAATAACTCTGATAAACATTTTCACCGTGATGTAGAGTTTTTCGTCTTTGGGGAATCGACTTAAGTCTAGGCGAAACGTCGTCGGGCAAATCGACTTTTGGGCGAAACTACCACAGCCTTTGAAGCGCTAGCCCGCTTGCAGGCTCTCTTATAGCGAGTGAGAAACGCTACCAGCAAAGCGCTCTCTTGTAAGGGGCGAGAGCGTAACCTGGCGACTGAGAGACGCGATCAGCGAAACGCTTTGCTGTGGATGACGAGAGCGGCAAGCAAGCGAGTAAGAGACAACGGGATCCTGAATAGATTCCTGGGTTACATTAGACTCGTATCCAGCGCAAAACCCAACTCGAGAACCTGCTTGTAAACTAGTGTTCAATGCGCATAGAAAAATTATATATCTTAAGGTATCATCACTAGAGACTCGAAGTTAAGTGGAGATTTCTCTATCCCTGCTTATGCCTTCTCTACCCTCTTCTTGGCTGTTTGTTTGTAACGGTTTTTCCATTGATTGTAACTTAAAATGTGCTACTTTTTCCTTCTTTTTTCTAATTTCTTGCGACTATTTTTCACACAGGCAAACGTGATACCATCCTCAGCGAACGTAACTGTTAATCACCGGGTTCATCCTGGCAATACTCTGGAGGAGGTGATGTAACAACTCTGAATAGCCATATAGCTTGCTCTCGATACTCGACACTCGATACTCGGCGGGGTCTTTGATCACAAGTGAGACCCTCTCGTCTGGGGCTCTATCATGCTGTCGGGTCCTAACAAGGACGAAATAACTGTCCATAGTTGCTGCTGCCTGCGCATGCGTAGGGCACTGGCCATACCGCGGAGTTTTTTAGTGCGTGCTTATTGTTGAATTTTCGTCTCAATGGGACAGGGCGATTGGGGGTCTTTTTCACCTGCTTTTTCTCCTTTTAATAATGTTTCCACACTTTATCCTTTATACTTTTTGTAGTGCGTGCTTATTGTTGAATTTTCGTCTCAAGGGGACAGGGCGATTGGGGTCTTTTTCACCTGCTTTTTCTCCTTTTAATGATGTTTCCACACTTTATCCTTGACTGCAGACAAGCTGCGTTAAACAACAAAATTGTGAGACAGAGGGGGTCGAGCGCTATATGTTTCGGACAAAGTAACAAACCATGGGCGCTTTCCATTTACGAAAAAAAACCGGAAATTTCGGTGGTAGCAAAAGTGGAATTTCCGATCGGTAAAAAGTTGTTCCATTTGGTCGTAAACCCCGGTACGTGGCCGGGTGCCCGACCGTGGACCTGGAACTGGTACAAACCACAAGAAACGTCAATGGAACACGACATTCCGTTCGGAAATTCCAACCGGGAAAACGGGACCACCTTTTTCGATTTTCCACTTTTTCTGGGAATTTTCCAGTGGGACGAACCGACGAAACGTGTTCCATTTACCGCCGAACCGGAAATTCCGGAAATTTTAACTAAATGGAAAGCGCCCCAGGCTTTCCTCCCATCCCACCCCGACAAAAGGCCCTTCTTACTTTCATGGGGTTTGCGTGGGTTTCTGGGACGTATTCGGTTCTACCAAGGGCGGCCAATCCTTTCCTGAATGCTCCGAAATCCTTGTTTACCTGCAGATGCTGGGAAGACTGCCCCGACTTTTGAATTACTCACTCGCCTTCTTTACGCTTAGCCTGCGTGGCAGGCGTTCAAAGGGGGAAGGGGTAGGGAATTTAGGCGCGAGACAGCGCTTGAGGGAGAAGCCCCTCGCGCTTCTTGTGCGCCCGAAATCCCCCTTCCCTTCCCGTCGAACGCCTGTCACGCAGGCTACGTTTCACTTAAGGCCGTTTTCCACAGACGCGTTTTTGGCGACGCACGTTAACGCACGTTAATTTTAATCACGTAGATAAAATAGAGGCAAGATATAAAGTCTTGAGATTAAACGTGAAGTTGAGCGAGGTTCTACTTTTACGCTTACGTGCGACCTTTCATACATTGCCTCTATTTTATTACGCGACAGTGGAAATCAACCCTTTAATAGACGGTGTTTTAACATATCCCTGACTTGGGACGAGGTTGATTTTCCAGAGTGTTCCTAAAGACACGTTTCGCTATTCAATACGGCAATGACAGAATGCCAAGTTTTGTCTCCTGTTTTAATAGGTTCTTGAGCATGATCGTCGCTGCATAAATGATGATCGAGTTGAAATTCGTGTGATGCAGTCGAGCGAACCTTCTCCTGTTTCTAACTGGGACGAACATTCTTTTGGCTTCCAGGTACAGTACTAAGTAGTGCTCGCGCGTGAATCAGCGCCATTTTAGCGGGAAAACGTGTTAGTCGTCGTCAATCTACTACGAGAATGTCGAAGTGGCGGAAACAAGTTATCAAATGTTAGAAGTTTTATCATTTTGCGATCGCGACAGGGCGTAGCCTCCTTCACTAAAGATAACAGTGCTAACTTTTCTAGTGAAAAATGGTAAAATGAAGCTTTCCGGGGAGTATATATTTTGAGAATAAGCAAAAAAAACTTAAAGTCAAATCTCGTACTTGTAATCGTCCTCGAATCTAAAGGTCTTTACTATCGAGAATTTACACAAAAAAGAGACTGTTATAATTATATGGTCATCGTTCTTTCCTTTTTATTACTGGGGGCATAGCGCAGCAATTTTTAATGGATAATAAATATTCTTTTTTTTTTCATTTCTTTAGGTGATATCCAAAAGCGTGCGGCAAGTGTTCCCGGAAGTCGGAGTGTCGCCAGGTAAGCTGCACATTGCCGCAACCTCGTTCCCAGAGTCCCCTCTTCTACGTCCGGCGTACAAGTAAGAGAGGACCCTGGGAACAAGGTTGGGTGCTGTCGCTGCCGTGTAGTTCATTGCCTACTTAGGTACTAAGCGTAATACTTACCCATCCCTCCTCTAACCCAAGATTTTGCACTTATTGAGAAGTAAGGGTTAAAGTTTATAAAGGTTAAAGGCTTGATAATAGTGGAGAGTGCAGTTAGCTTATCCAGCCAGTTTACAGGCACTCTACTCAAGTACCTCGAAACAAATAATGGAAATAGGACATAACAGGATTAAAAACCCTGGGAGGCAACCAGTTGGCTATTTACAAGCGTGGCCGAGGATTTGAGCTCGGGGGACGACAGAGAACAAATTTAGCAAGTCGCCAGAGCGGGACACGAACCCAGGACCGCCGGATTGCGAGTCCGACGCGGTGACTGCTCGGCCTCGCTGCCTCCCATGCAGGATAGGGTAGGGGGATTCTGAGAAACTGCCCACCTACCCCTCCCCTAACCCAACATTTTGCTCTTATTCAGAAGTTAGTGTTTACGTTGAGTTAGGGAGGGGTAGGTAAGTAGTTTCCTCGAATCTTATACTGACCGCACAGCCACGTTTTGAACATGCGCGTTTGTGTTGATGAGGCCTTGGGGATGGAAGAGCTACAACTGAAAGCATTTACAAGGCTGGAGCTACACCACACGGCACTTAAAATCATTCAGGCTAATATTTCAACTGATACAGTTAGATTTCTTTAGGGCGAGTGATACACTAAAGGATATAGAGGCTCGCGTCTTAGCTGTACCACTGTAGTTTGCAAAAATGCCCTTCTGCTGGAGTGTCAACTCTGCAATTAAAATAGTTTCTTTGCATGTTGCAGTGTTTCCAGCGTTAGGATTTATAAATTTGTATTATTGTTGTTATTTATACAGGGCTTATGATTGCAAACACAGATACCAGACACTATCTGGAGCTTACCGACTCTGTCTACAGGTTTATGCCATCAGTACTAACTCCCGAGGATGCTAAACGCATTCATGGCTTTAACGAAAGAATCAGCGTTGAGAATTACGAAAAAACCATCAACTACTTTTATCATTTGATGATAAATGCTGATGCAGCGAATTTGGACACGGAGAAACCACACAGCGAATTGTGATATTTATAGTTTGTTTTAAAATTCAAGAAGCTGTTTAGGTACCCTGCAAGCAGAGCCTCCTTCGATCTTCCGAGAAAATATTTCTAGCAAGATCGAAGGAGACTCTGCTCGCCGGCGGTACTGTTTAGGTGAACAGTGGAAAACTGGGACGATTTTCCGCGCTTCGTTCCGATCTTGAAGTCAACGATTTCGAGATCCAGTTGTGAATGAGCACAACATGTTCTACCGAAGATCGTGTGAGTGCGGTCTTATCGCAAGTTTGTTCAGATAGACAGCACAAAGAAGAGCACTTGAAAGAGACCTTTCTTTATGAGTAATGAACAGCACGACTAAAATGAAACTTGCCTCAGAACGGCCAAGTATTTGGCAACTTTTTCATCAAAGCACTACCCTCCCAGGTGAAGAATTCCTCATTCTTGAATTCTTGAAAGGTTAAAACTCACCTATTTAAAAGGGCGAATGAACCGGCGGGTCGCTAGGCCAATTATGTTTTTAAACAGTTCTAGATTTTTGTTTGTTTTGTTTTTAGCCTTTTCTAGCTCTAGGTTGGAGACTTACATTTACTTTTTGCTTTTTTTAACAGTTGTATTTTTGCTTACCTGGCCTTTTTAACTGTAGGTTTTAGTTTTAATTTTTAATAACATTGGTTGCAAATTTTGTTTTTCGAACCTTTTTAATCCTTAGTTAGAGTCTATTTAATGTAAGCCGTTTATATATTGTAAGACAGGTTTTAATCTCTGTAAAGCACTTAAGGCCATTTTATATTTTTATGGATAGTGCTATATATATATATATATATATCTAGCCGGATTTTTGAAAACGTCATCGCCAAATGGACCTTTTGCGTCCAACAGTTTTTTTCGGCCAAAAACTATCTCCAAAGTAGCTATTATAATAACTAAAAGTGTAACCATTGTTTTTTTCTCTTCTCCTCCTTTCCTTCTCCTCGCTCTTCCTCTTTCTCCTTTCCTTTTCCTTCGTTACTGTGATTTTGAAGCTTCTCGGGCTTAAGAAACCTGCCTTTTGACGCCTTTTCACTCAAATGAGTGCAAATTTCGTCGGATTGGTTTTCAAAAAATCGCTAAGATATGTAATTATATAAGTAAATGATAATAATAATAATAATAATAAATAATAATAATAATAATAATAATAATTATTATTATTATTATTATTATTATTATTATTATTATTATTATTAAAATCGATGGTATATGTAAAAAAAGAAAAATAAGTAGAAGCTCATGAAAGAAGATTTGATGACACAAATCCTGGGGTTTTATTAAAATATTATCGCCCTTGCCGAACGCTAACAAGGGAAAGCATTGGCAATACTTCTGTCGAAGATTTCACCGAGAAGATTAAACTATTGTGGGATATTAAAGGTGAGACTGTGCGAGGAAGAAGAGGAAGGTTTATCTTATAAAGTGGCAGTACTCAGCACACTCTCGATAGGGAGAACTCGGCTCAGTTGTAACCCACATTCTTAATGGCCCTTATGCGTGTTAACGTCAGACGAGCAAATTTCGCCACCAATCCTGGTTTTGAAGTTAAAAAGTTGCCAAGATTTGCTTAAATAAATTCCCAAGGCAAAAACTGAGAATATTCACGCCCAAAAAGTGCAAATGCGAAGTGTTTTGCTTGCAAATCTCTACTGTCTTTGACCACGACTAAAGGGGGACAATTTTAGCCTCCCTTCTATATACACGTTGAACTTCTTTTGGCTCTTCATTTTGGCGAGGCATGACAAATTGTCACGCAAGCCGGCAGAACAATGCACCCCTATTTGGGGGGTATTGTTTGGGAAACTTTCATTAGACGCAAAAAGCAAATGGACAAAACACTTGCTTTTAATGAAATTACCCCATTACCGTGTTGCTTCAAGGTCCTTCAAACCTGCTTTGGATTGCCGGAATTTGATACTGAAAAAGGCCAATCAAGTTCATTTGTCCCTGAACCACTCGCTAACTTTCGAACGACAGGTTACATCGGACTGAGTGTTCTAACGTTTTTTTTTTTAGGCTGATCATTGTGGGTTCAAATTTGTTTTGTCTGATCATGCATGATTGAGATACATTTGTTGAAATTACTTTACAATCCTGTCCTTAAGCGTACCTAGTTTCAGGTTGGATCGTCACATCCCCGTTTCTACCGCGTTGGAAGTATTTGGAACTTGATCCAACCGATCATGATGATGTCGTTGACCGCTAACCAATGGCAAAACTACTTGTCACCTCATTCTTGTCCCCTTTACAAAAGGACTTTGTTCAGTGCCGCTAGTTTGTTTCGAAGACAAAGGGTCACAAAACACCAAACATTGGTAAGTTGATAATTAACATTCGAGTGGGATCCAGTTTTCTTGGTCAAAATTACAGTTATACCAGGCTCCTGGTTTTACCCTCATTTTGGGATTTGACCTTTTTCCGACCTCACTTTGGCCTGCATTCGCTATTTTAACGTATTTAAACAGTGTTTAAAGGATCAAGATCTACATGAAAACTAGCAGTTGAAATTTAATATTTCGAGGTCAAATTACTGTAAATATCCTTATCTCAGCAATGCCAATGCCCTCATTCTAACGTGGTAGACATAAGTTTCGATTTCTTTGCCAATTTTTTGTTCTGCCAGTTTCTACTTTCAGTTACCCCGACAACTATCTCTTTGGGTCTCCAAGGATGAGGCGTGGTCTACTTTCCCTGATCTTATATATTTCAGATTGCGCCAAAATTGATAAAAAAGAAATGAAACATCTTAAACTGAACATTTTCTGTTTTTCAATATAACCAGTGGGCCCTTGAAGCACGAATACCAAGTGGTAATATTTCTTTGTCAAGCATTAACTTCTACAATTTCCTCTTTTCTGCAGTTCGTTTATGTGGTATTTTAGAGATTTTATTGTTGAATTGTTAAACAAAAGAATTTTTTAACACTTACTTAGTTTATAGAATAACTCAATAAGAAACCAGTGAACCATTTTTCAGGAAAACTGCGTAATTTTTCTTAAACCTGCCCTAATTCATTCTATTCCAAAAAAATATTATTTTAATCGAAAAAAGCGAAACTTTAATACTGTAGTTGAACCTTCACCACACTACGTCAAACCTGCTTTTTGTGCAATTTGATATTTCAGTAACCAGTCGCCTCGTTTCCCATGATTACCGGCTTTCAAGATCGACACAACAGATGGAATTGATTTTTAAAAGAGGAATTTTAAAATTTATGTTCCTGTTTACGGCATGCAAAAATCAGTTTGAATCGCGCGACCAAGTTTTCCTTTTAATGCTTCGTTTCTTTTCCGTTATTATACGTTATATCTTTTTTTCTTTCTGTCTTTTTTCCTTTTTTTTTGCAGTTGTTGTGAATGAAACTATATATTACAACAAAAAAAAACACAACAACTTGGGAACAGGTTACAACAACGAAAAAAAGTTTTCCCTTTACGTATGGCCTATAGCTCATTATATCTACATAAAAATTAGTATTTCCACGTCATGTTCAGAAATAACAATTATTTGATACAGGTTTTATCTGCTGACTTCCTATTTTGAGAAATTGTCAACTTGGATATACCAACGTCATAAAGACAGAATGAGCTGCCAAAATTGTAATATACATTTTTGATTTTGTAAAATGAATTGCTTAGTACATAAAGTTCTAATTAATAAAGTTCATTCTTAGTTTAATTTCAACATGTGTCATCCACCGTAGGGAATTTACAGCTTTCCGATGAAAAATGACGACTGCCCGACAAGTGTTTATGAAGGGATGGGATGTGGTTGGGGGAGCATTTATTAAGGCACTCTTGGAACGGACTGAGGGACACTTTCTTAGAAACTTCTATTAGTCACAAAATGCAAATGAAGAAAACGCTTGATTTTAATGAAATCACCGCATTACCGCATTACTTCAAGATCCTCCAAAACCCGCTTAAGATTGGAATTTGATTTTTAAAAGGCCAATAATGAGGTTCATTTTTTCCCCTGAACCACCCGCTAACTTCCGAACGACAGGTAACACCGGACTGAGTGCTCTAACGTTTTTTTTTAGCTTGATTATTTTGGGTTCAAATTTGTCTTGTCTGGTTGACATACATTTGTTGAAAGTGCTTTACAATCTTGTCCTTAAACGTACCTATTTTCAGGTTGTATCGTCACATCCCCCACCCTTGCTCTTTCAGCAAATCTCGATGTTTCTTCTCTAGTGAATTTTAGCTAACCACGTTGGAAGTTTGAAACTTAATCCCGTGATCCGATCATATGAAGTCATTGATTGCTAACCAATAGCAAAACTACTTGTCACCTCATTCTTGTTACCTTTACATAAGCCGGACTTTTCTCAGTGTCGCTAGTTTCTCAGGTTCAAAGACAAAGCACCACACATTGGTAAGTTGATAATTAACACTCGAGTAGGATCCATTGTATAAGGACAAGCCTTAAGCAAGGATTCAAAGCGTTATATACTTCATATTCACTGGCATCAGGCTATTGGGTTGTAATATTTGTTGTGTAGATATATTCTACCAATTGAATGCTTTGTGGTTGGATGGAACAGTTTTCTTTGTTACAATTACAATTTTACCCTCTTTTAAGTTATGGCCTCTTTCCGACCTCACTTTGGCCCGCATTCGTTATTTCAGCGTATTTAAACAGTGTTTAAAGGATCAAGATCCACACACAATTGTTGATTACACAATATATTGAATTTCTGACACAAGAATAGACTTACTGGAGTCACTTTGCTACAACAATTTTAACTGGCTTTACAAATTTCTTCCATATAGAGTTAAATATTAGACGGAAAATTCTTTGCAAACCTCTGTTTTCAAAACTAGCAGTTGAAATTTAATATTTCGAGGTCAAATTACTGTAAATATCCTCTAAATACTCCACCAATGCCAATGCCCTCATTGTAACGTGGTAGACATAAGTTTTTTGCCAATTTTTTGTTCGCCCCGTTTCAGCTTTCTCTTACCCCGACAACTACCTCTTTGGGTCTCCAAGGATGAGGCGTCGCCTGCTTTCTCTGATCTTATATTTCAGATTGCACCAATATCAATAAAAAAGAAATGAAACATCTTAAACTAAACATTTTTTTGTTTTTCAATGTAACAAGACCCCCGAAGAGGGCCCTTGAAACACGAATACCAAGTGATAGTATTTTTTATCAAGCATAAATTCTACAATCTCCTCTTTTCTGCAGTTCGTTTATGTGGTATTTTAGAGATGTTATTGTTGAATTGTTAAACAAAGGAATTTTTTTTAACACTTACTTAGTTTGTAGAATAACTCAATGAGAAACCAGGGAACCATTTTTCAGGAAAACTGCGTAATTTTTCTTAAACCTGCCCTAATTCATTCTATTCCAAAAAAATTTATTTTAATCGAAAAAAGCGAAACTTTAATACTGTAGTTGAACCTTCACCACACTACGTCAAACCTGCTTTTTGTGCAATTTGATATTTCAATAACCAGTCGCCTCGTTTCCCATGATTACCGGCTTTCAAGATCGACACAACAGATGGAATTGATTTATAAAAGAGGAATTTTAAAATTTATGTTCCTGTTTACGGCATGCAAAAATCAGTTTGAATCGCGCGACCAAGTTTTCCTTTTAATGCTTCGTTTCTTTTCCGTTATTATACGTTATATCTTTTTTTCTTGTTTTCTTTTTTTTTTGCAGTTGTTGTGAATGAAACTATATATTATAATTAAAAAAAAAAAACTGGCAACAGGTTACAACAACGACAAAAGTTTTCCCTTTATGTATGGCCTATAGCTCATTATATCTACATAACAATTAGTATTTCCACGTCATGTTCAGAATTAACAATTATTTGATACAGTTTTTATCTGCTGACGTCCTATTTTGAGAAATTGTCAACTTGGATCTGACGTTTTCATATGTTGTTTGCCATAAACCAGCTTTTAAAACCTGTCTGAATAGCACTAGCCTTAAATAAGATAGGCAAACTGATCAAGAGTGCCGTCTACAAACCTTTATAAATTAGGTAATAGCAACGTCATAAAGACAAAACGAGCTGCCAAAATTGTAACATACATTTTTGATTTTGTAAAATGAAT